CCTTTCCCAGATAGCCCTTTTCATTCAAATGCTGCTGGTAGGTATTGTAATTCAATTCTATTCTTGTATGTAACTCACTGAACTTCAGCAAGATGCCTGTCAAGCAAGTCAATATTTTACACTCCAACTTGAATTCATTTTTCGCAGTGTATCAAAATGCAAATTTATTTTTTCCTCTTAAGAGTCACAATCTCAGTAGAACCAGCCTGGAAACAGGAACACCTAAACAAGACAGCAAACCAGCGGTTGCAAGAATGATCAACGTGTCTCCTAAAGTCCAGAGATAGCAAATGTCATCAGAACATCTAGTTACAAGTGCATTAAAACTCCCCGAGGAGAAAGAAAATGCAGAGTTGGTTAAACATTTATAGGTACCTCCGAGTTTCAGTTGCTGCATGTGTAGCATGATACGGTTTTCTCCCCAAGCGATACCCGCTCTGCTCCCAAATCTTTGTATTATCACCAAGAACTCTTTAATCTAAGTGAATAAAAGGCTCATCGTGCCTTCCCCACTGACTACTTCAAAAAAAACCCCAAACCAAACATTAACAGCGATGCTTTGCCCAACCTAGGAAAACACAAGCCCACCCACGGGGATTGTTGCAGCTATGGGAAACACGCACAGCCACTGTTTTTCAGCACATCTCAGGTAAAACCAGTTAAAATTCCCAGTATGACTTCGTAGTATTTATAGAGCAACGCTACAAATCAGAAAGAACAACTATCGCCGTCCCGACACATTAACTTGCCTACATGAGTCTCAAAGCTGAGCTTTGCCTGGTTGCCTTGGTGATCTCAATAAACACGAGGCGACGTGCTTTCGTGAGCTTTTCTCTCTGATAGAGGCACCCAAATTAAAAAGCCAGGCTTGCAGGATGAAGTTGACACTCAGGTACCACGTGTCTTCCGGGTGACCACACACTTGAAAAGTCTTACTCAGAGGCACTTTAACTGCAAAGACACTTCAGTCCTGGGCACAGCAGCCAACCACATCTTTGGGGGCGGGAAATAATAAACAAAGGAAGGAAGAAACAGTATCTCTGTCCAAAACCCCTTTTACCTACCTGCACAGCCAAAAGCTAGGTGATACCTAGAAGAGGGGCTGAATTTGACACAACACACATTAGCCTTGGCCTCGATGCTTGCTACTGAGTTGTCCAAGTTGGTAGACCACAGCTTCACTAGAGAAACAGAAAAAGAGAAATGAGTAAACAAAAAAACAAGAACAACAACAACAAAAAAAATCGACATCTGAAAGGCATAAAATCTAGTTATTTCATAAATAAGATTCCGAAAAGCCTCAGTTGCCAAGATGTTAGTGATTATAAAGGGTCAGTTGCTGCTGATGGCTAGTAAGCTTGAGAACATTCCCCAGTGCGCACCGTAAATGTTCTGCTCACCTCCATACACACAGGAGATGCTGAAAGTCCACATCCCACACAGCTGAGAACATCAGAGCAGGTGACTAACCACTCATTCGAATCTCAGCATTTAAGGCTACCAGACCACAGATTCATACAGCCAAGAGCAGGAAGGCTTGCATCCTTTTTATTCCTTGTTCCTTAGCTGGGATGCGAAAACTCCATGCTCCACGGCAGAACTGCTTTGCAAAGAATAAATATACCTAATTGTATGCTTGAGCACAGCGAGGGAGAACAACTTGTTTTATTCTTGAGAAACTGGCACACACAGGGAAGAAATCAGTATGCTGGCTTCCTATAATTATATATTTCCTTGGTACAAGGAACTCTACTGTTCTACAAGACTACTGTGTGCACATTGATTAAGCTGCGTGGTACAGAATGAGTTCTTCCCCCTGAGTACTCTCTTCAGGGCTTCACAGGACAGTCAACAGAAAACACCAGTGGCTTTTCAAAACACAGCCTTCCCCTCTCTCTGCAAACACTTCAAGTACCATTTAACTCTAAAGCTAAAGAGTGCCAGGTGCTCCCCATGTAGCCAACCTTACTATTAAAAGCTACAGATGAAACACTTTGCTCTCAGTCCAGGTGGAAGAGGCAGCACCTTGGCATAAAGCCCCGTTGATGCCTACAAGGAAGGCTTATCTAAGACTTCAATGTTCTCCCTTCCTCCTTTTCTTGAAGAGTGGGTTGTGTTGTACTCAAGTACCATGATCAGCGTGCTGAGGCAGGAAGGAGAGTGAGGTGAAGTCAACATTTGAACACACAGGAGCTACATGAAGGCTTAATCCCCTACGCAGCTGCCACGAGCTGCCCAGGCTTCTTCAGATGTGTGGCCAAGGGGTCCCCTGCTGCCTTCTTATAGAAAGCTCACTTTGGAGGTGAAGTGAACAAAAATGGCAAAAGAACAGGAATCTTGTTACCCGCTGTGGTCCATAAATGAGGTCAGTGGTCTTATGGTGTGTCTTCCCACCCTCTGAGGACCCCTCTGTGTCACCTCTTGGTCAGCCTTTCCCAGGAGCTTCAAAGAAGCAGCAAGGCTTCCACGTGGATTACTCAAGGACGTTTTAGATGGTTAAGAAAAAGGAGGAATGCTGGCAGGTTCCTTCTAGTGCACCCACTTTTTAATAGCACAGCAAGCAATGAAAAGCAACAAGACTGCACTATTTTTGACCATACCTAGCAGAACTGCTTCAAGGATGAAGGAAATACATGACTGCTTGGAGCTCACTAAGGAATCCTTTTAAATACAGCACTGTGTGGGTATCTGACAGCTGCCTGGAAGCGTGATAAAGCAGCACAACACATACACCAGAAATACAAACACTGATGCATATGGGTATTTGCATATACGCATTATGCAAAATTCAATGAAAACAGCACCCACCTTGTTGTTGGTTTTCAGAAATAAATCCATTCTCATTTACCAGAGCTGTAATATTCATCCTAAGCATCGAGCTACACTTCTAAACAAAACCAACAGCTTTGCAAGCATGGCTTAAGGTGCTCTCTTCTCCCAAACAAGACTGGATGATGTACCTCCTCCACCGTGTTTTGCACTTAGGGGTGGGGAGGGGAACAGAGCCAGGAAAGCCAATTTCGCAAAACAATAGAACATGAGCATTTTGCTTTAATGAACAGACTCCAGGAGATGTATAGTTTAAGTTGCAGTAGCAGTAGAAGACAAAGTTTATGGATGAGATGGTATAGGAAGCAAATTAATACCACAATTACAAGACTGTTGGCAGACAACATTGCTTCAACTTGAGGAGTGCAAGGAGGTTACATGATGTCCCAGTTCAGAGTGATGTTCTGCCTAAATCTAGTACTAAAACCACACAGGCTTGTCTTGAAGTCTTCCACCCAGGTATCAATATTTAATGTTGCATCCAAAGCAGCCAAGTCTCTCCTTGACACCACCTCAAATAAATGAATGGCCATCTGGTCTCAGTTTTGAAGGAAAAGCTAATTGAGGGCTTGGTTTCAACTCGGCTCCTTTTTTCATTCAAGTTTTCAGGTCATAAGCTGAGCCATTTAATCTGGTGAAGAGTCAACCTGCACGTTCAAAGCCATCATAATATTCGTTACAACTGACAGACACAGATTAGAGTCTGCAATTTCTGTGATCTAACTGCTGCGGGATACGCTGGGCTCCAATTATATCTTAGTCAGTGCCATAAAAAGGATATATGCGACATATAACAACACGTAATGAAACGTGTCAAGTTTTACCTAGAACTGCCCATTATTTTTTAAAAAGAACTGACAGGTTAATAAAGCATAATTCATAAGGGTAGAGTTTATTTGCTGTAGCTTTCAGCAATTTTGCTGAGGTCGAGGCAGTAATTATACAACGTACAGATGTCTTGATAACACCTCGAATTGCGTCAATGAGACACGCAGCTATCTGAGACGGACTATTTCTAAAACATACGTTCTCAAAGCATATGTTTTCTAATTTTGCAGCTGCTGAGAGACATCTATGCAGCCAAATGTCTACTCCTCACCAAACAAGTAAGAAGATGCCTCCAGAACAGCTTTTTCTGTTTCAAATGTTTAGGTCTTTTCAAGATAGTTTTTAGTTGATTGGAGCTTTACACCTGTCCTGGTGCATGTCAGTTTATAAATTAATTTTCTACACACCAGAGCTGTGTCCAAACACTATCTAAAAGAGGTAGAAGCCTGTGTTGCAACAGCTGAAGGGGTCGATGTACACGGCTGGTACACTGATAGTAAGAATATTTCATCCAGCCTGTCATTCTTGCAACTCTTATCTGCTCGTGTGATGGAGAGGCTGCCATTACCCCCAAAAAAACATAAATCAGGAATAGGATATTGCTACCAGAAAATTTGTTCATACAGATTTGAGGAATTCCTAGGAAAGCAGGAAGTTGCTTAATTCTCCTGCTAAGCAAAATTTTTGATCCACTGCCTTGTGTGGGTCAGGAGGATGATGTAAGCTGATGACTGTCAGCAGGCAATGACCATAGGGTACTCCTCCTTGCATAAGTCACAGCCGGACAGCTATTTTGGTTGGCATTTTAACAACCAACATATTCTTGACCTTTCAAGGTATTCCCAATTGAGTGCAACAACTCCACAAATCTCCAGGAGATTATTGAACTTCTTTTAGCCAGGAAAATGAGCAAACTGAAAGTTCAACCTGATATTTTAAGAGCAATAAACACCTATACCTCCAGTTAAACTCAGCAGAAGCATCACTGAAAATGAAGCCCCAAACAACCCTCTGGAAGTCAAGAAAGCCGAGGAGCAAACTCTGACTTGCAGTTCTCAGCCTGATATTTTAAGAGCAATAAACACCTATACTTCCAGTTAAACTTAGCAGAAGCATCACTGAAAACAAAGCCCCAAACAATCCTCTGGAAGTCCTCAAGAAAGCCCAGGAGCAAACTCTGACTTGCAGTTCTCAAGCTAGTTCCCTCTCTAGAAGGCCACGCTTCTTTTTTACGAAGCCAACTCTGCAAATCTGCGTTGTCCCTCTGAATTCAGGGGCACTAGAGAAAAAAAGAGCTGTAGGACTGGTACCAATGGTCTCATTTACCGAGGCAGCATGGAAACTACTTTCCTTAGATGTCACGAAACAGATGCTTGCATTCCTCCTTGCCACGATACAATGAAAAGTAACCTCTTGCTACAGCTCAGAGCTCTGAGGTGCTCCTGTTCTGCTCCACCTCTCCATTTTGAGCCAGGAATAGTGAAGGGACTACAGCTTACAGAAAGGACATAAAACCATGGTTCTTCAGTTGAATTTGTCAGTACTGCTTGTATCTCCTCGAGCTTCAGAGAGCTTCAAAAACAACCCCAAAGCAGAGAACAAATACTTGATCACTCCAAAACAGGTCTCTACCCCAGTCAGGACAATTTCTACCCACACAGCATCATAAAACATCTTGCCATCCCATCTGCTAACTTTACCATGGTCATTAAACTACACTCCTAATCCAGAACAGACAGGGATCTTGGGTTCAGAAGCAGCTCTAAGTCATTAGCTAAGTGCACCAGCTCCGGCAGTACCCCAGCACTTCGATGGCATCTTTTTGCCTTCATGAAATTCAATAATCTTTTCTCCTCCAATAGCAGAAATTCATCCTTTCCTACTTACATGAGAATCACAGCTCCTGCCATTATTACATGTATAAAGGAATTGAAATGAAGGCTGTGCCGTTCCCCCAAGCTGCCGAAGCACAAGTAAACACTTTAATTTTGCTCACTGCTATCCAGTTGGTGTACGCCATCGGGTCCCTACAGACACACACAACTACCTTTGCCCCTGTATAAGAGAAGGGCATGACAACTGTCAATAAAAATGAGGCTTTCATACACGCGGTAGTAACTTCAAATACAATAATGCTTTTATGCTTTCATTATCTGCTATTAAAGTAGAAAAATCTTCCACAAACACGCATCCTGGATAATCTTCATCTAACAACAAGGACAACGCAGGACCTGAGGCCCCAGGATGCTATTTTGAATTATATCCGAATGATTTTATCCCTAATAGCACTCCATTCGTTAGCACCCCCTTTGCTGTGCCTGAGCCCTGGCAGAGACAGCTGTGAAGCACTGATGATAGGATTTTTCATCCAGAAGCTCCTTTCCAGCATACCAAGTGCTTTAAAAATTAGCTTCCAACTCAAAAAGACCGAGCAGAGACAGGCAGATACACAGAAGAACTGGCAAAGCTGTCACTTTTTTGCTGACTTGTCTTGATCACTTTGACAGGAAAAGGTTATACTCGCGCTTTCCGGGGAACTGTGGTGAAATTAGCTCCGATTGCTCTGGTCACAGTAATGTCTATCATAGAATCATAGAATGGTTTGGGTTGGAAGGGACCTCAAAGACCATCTCGTTCCAACCCCCCTGCCACAGGCAGGGACACCCTCCATTACACCAGGTTGCCCAAAGCCTCATCCAACCTGGCCTTGAACACTTCCAGGGATGGGGCAGCCACAGCTTCTCTGGGCAACCTGTTCCAGTGCCTCACCACCCTCAGCACTGAGATTTCTTGTTAGAAAGCCCAGTGTGGCCTCACACAAGCAGAGAAGCAAAAGAGGACAAGAAGGGTAGGCAGAACTTGGGTTTCCCACCAGATGCTGTACCTGCCCAAACGCTTATTACACGTACCCAAAGCTGGCCAGAACTCAACCAAACGCCCCTGAACATGACAAGCAGAAAGACAAAAATTTAAGTTAGGCAGGTTTGAGTTAAGACAATTCATCATAAGTGTTACCTTTTCCTCACATTTAACTCTTTCAGTGTGATCACTGAAGCAGAAGGTGAACACTGTAACATCAATTTGGACATTTGCTACTATCGCTCTCTGTATCTTAAAGACTTCTAAAATCTGTGCTGATTTCGAACACTTCCACACAGGACTCCGTTTGCCTCTAATGGGCTTGTTACATATGCAAATCACAGGCAAACCATGGTAGAAGTAAAGGATAAAACGTTCCTGCTCAGTTTTATTCACCGAAACCCCAACACATCTTCAAAAGACCTTTATGAATTGAAATGCAAGTTAGGTAGATCTGCCAACTTTATTACAATAATTTCTAAGTAAACACTACGCTTTTAGAAACTGTTAAAACCAGAGACAGGAGCTCTGCTTGCAGCTGGCTTTGCAAAAACCAGGCAACTTGTTCACATGCTAATAAATGCATGTCTACCTGCCAGATAAGCTTTTTCAAATGCAGAGCATGAGTGGGGAGCAACACCATGAAGATGTTGATAATTTACAAGGTGAACGTTCACTCCTGCTGCATTTAAACAGGCAGAAAACACTCCTGACTTCCACCAAAAAAGAGGAGGGAAGTGTATCAAAAGAACATTTAAAACCCACCTTAAATATAAAATGATCATTAAAGCTGCATTTTTTAAATGGAATTACTGGCTACAGTAAGACTGCCAAATGCAATTGAGGAACACTAATACGGCTTTCTTTGAAACAGAATTTAAAAGTCATTTTAGAGGGAGGGGAGCAACTTGCAAGGTTTAATGTTCATGAAAAATTAATTTATCATTTCAAAGCAAATCATGAAGAGCTCTGTCCAGAGCTGTATCAGTCCATCTAGGAGGTTTGACCCCCACTGAATATGAAAGGAACTCTAAAGCTCTTGCTGGCTAATAACTCTAATTTGATATTGTAGGCATGTTACAGATAAAATCTTGCTCATTAGGGATGAAGAATACTATGTATCGCTCAGCGCTATCCTTTTCTTTAGAAGTTTCCTATTTCTTCTTAGAAGAGGAACATTTTTCTACCAGTATGTTGGGAAAGGGCTTGTCTTACAGGTTCTCTTCAAAAGCCCTTCATCAAATGAACCCCAGAGTGAGAGAGCTGGGAGTTGCTCCCAGCACTCCCATTCAGTCCATCATCCCACTCTTAAGCTCCGAGAAACACACTGCACATCGTGAAAGTGGGAAGCTTCTTGTTGTGCAGTCTTTAACATTCAGAGCTACAGGTAAAACAGCGGCAGGTATTTTTTTTAACTTCTGCTTTTTCACCGACAGCCTCTTTTTTGAAATATAAATACATGCTGTTCTTTTGAAAGGTCCCCAGGCTTCAACTCACCAAGTTTAACTAACATTAAAACACATTTTGCTTTGTTTAGTGTCCTGGAAAATGCTAGCTAGAGAGCATATTACCTGAAAAACATGAACATTGCACCAAGAAATCTTAATCCAGACAAAGCCTCTCCTCCTCTAAGATCCGAACAGTTCAGTAATATCTTTACACATTACACTTCAACTACAATATTAAAGGCAGTTGAGGAATCAGCTACTCGAAATATCATATTTTTGTTCCTCAAAGGGAATACAAAAAGCGTAAGCCTTCTGCACAGAAACTGAAAAAGAGTAATACCTTTGGCATCATCAGAGCCTGAAGCCAATAGCTTTGGGTCCATCAAGTTAAAGTCAACACTCCAGCACCTCTTCTCGTGCTCCTGTTAAGAGAAACAAGAAAAATATTGCAAGGTAGTGAGCTGTAATCTGACAAAGTAGTAGAAGAAAAAACCACACATGCTGTTTGGTATAAATTGTCAAGAGAGCCCTGGACAGAGAAGCTTACTGTATTTAGCAGTTTCTCAAAAAACATCTTTTCTCCCAGTCAGACCAATGCTTGCAGCATGCCAGACATGCCGTGAAAGCGGAAAACAGTAGAATGGTGATTTTAAAACCGAAAACTGATTTTTTTTTTTAACTTGAAAAAAGTTATTATTTCAGGAAATATACATTAAAGACTTGTTTTTGCAGCACAGTTTAACTGGCTGCTTTGACTGTGTGCTGCTTCTTATTATAGCAGATCACAGTTTTATCTCCCAATCCTGATTAGATGCCTGTTCAAAGCCATTTCAAACACCTCCTCTCTCAAAGTCTAGGAAATCCTCACCTTCCTAATGAGTTATTAAACAAAACTTCTGGTGTCTAAGCCTGTGTTTTTCCGCTCAAATAGTCTTACAAGGCTGCACGCTCTTCCCCGAAACACGGAAAAGCTGTATTTGCTATGCTGGCACATCCCACATGCAAGCAAAGCAGTGCATTGAATGAAACCTGAAATTCAGTCAAACCCTTTGTTTAAAGCCTTCATGCAAAGCAAGACTACACGAAACGCTTGCCAGGACAAAGTCACTAAAGAATTTCTAATACATGCGAAGCAGATGTCAGTATGTACGCCTCTACGCAAACCCAAATAAAAAATTCAAGTAATCTGATAGGAAGCAAAATGAGTTTGTTTTAACATAAGCAACAGCTGGTCCTCTCTAGGTTCATTATTCAGCCTCATAAAGAAATGCAAAACCTATTTGAGAGGAAAACAGACAAGATTTATTTTGTCCAGTGTAATTTTTTTTTAATTGAGATATGAGAAGAATTAGTGAAAACAATCATTATAAAACAGCCAAAATATAATGAAAAAAGGAAACAGAGGCTTAAATAGGAATGTAAACTTATGCTGAACGGTCAAGAAGAGGGAACTGAAGGCCAGTCTGCAGCTCATTTGTTATCACTGACTGGTTCCAATGCACTATATGCTACTGACACAACAGCCTGCAGCACATCCAGCCTCTCCCCAAACGGACCATCTTCTCTTCCAACCTGCGTGCTCTCATCACAAGCCTCTTGGAATCCATTATATAGAAAAACAATGTCAAGACAAAAATGCCAAGAAGTTCTCCTGAAACTGGTCTTGCTGCTGAGCTCAGCCTACTCGTGTACGTACACTGCTGTGCCGAGCACGGGACTGTACCAGGAAGGGTTCTGCCTACTGCTCTGTTCTCCAGCCTCGTCACTTAAGGCTGAGTTTTCCTTTTCTGCTTTACAAGCACCTGCAGCAGTCGCTGCAGGCTTTTATAAAAGGCTTTTGACAAAGACTGAAGCGGAACAGTTATGGAGAGACTGAGGTTTCTAAAGAAAGGCGAGACAATCAGCTTCCAGAAACTCCTTTTTTCCCCGTGCAGATTCCCTAGCCCAAAAGCAGCAGTAAGAAAACGTCAACTGCCTCGTGACCGTGACAAGAAAATATAGCTGCCTCCCTCAGAGGACTACAGCTCAATAAAGCTATGCAGATAAGACACATTTACCAAACAGGAAGAACATTCGTTTCACCCTGCAGAACGTAAAAGCCTATTGCTGGACTAGAAGCAGAACCTCAGGCTGAATACTGATTCCTGGACACAGTCTGTGGTGTGGGAAAGTGTTGCTCCCTGATTGCGTGTTACCTGGTAGACCTTGGATCTTTGTCCCGTGAATCCATCCCAAAGGATGACGGTGCCTTCATAGTCGCTGCTGGCTAGCAGGTTCTTGTGGTAACTACTCCAGCTGATACAGCTTAAAAAGAAAAAGAGCCGTGGTCAGTCTGACATTAAATCACACCTTACAACACAAAAATCACGCTCACCATGCATCAGGCAATTAGAGTCTTTGCACAGCACGCAGCACTTGATCAAGCCACCCCACTGAAACACTCAGGAAAGGAGAAAACCAAAACCCACCAGAAATACAACAAACCTTCCTCCACAAACTAAAAGAAAAGCTTTATTGACCTAAGTGACATTGCCCCCCTCAATATGAAGGGTTTGGGATTTTTTTTTTTTAATAAATGTATTCCTCTCTAACACTGCAGTTGTTTTACTATTTGAATTCCACACAAACTCTCACAGAGAGCTCAGGGTTTGACTTCTTGGCCTCTTGCCAACAGCTACTACTATTATCATTACCGTAAAGATATCTGCTTACTTAACAGAAGCTATATATGCAAACCACCTAGCTGCATGGATGGTAAATCAACCTCTCCCCGGCACCTATGTCATGTTCTATACCTGTACTACGTACTAATGAAAGTTTTACTTCCAAGAAACTACTTCCAGCTTTCTGTAAACAAGGAAAGATCCCTCCACTTCCATCCAGGAGGAAACAGCAGTTTGTTTGCTACGGGCAGTTTACATATTTCTGATGGAGAACTGCAATATATATCTCATGGGCTCATATTTCAAACTGAATTAAGCAGCCATGCAAAACTAAACGACAACTCCACCGACCAACTCTAACCATCAGCAGACAAAACAAGAGCAGTGACACTGCCAAGTCACATTCGTAGCGTTCTGGCACTATGCCTCCACTCTGACTCCCCCCAAAAAATGTGACAGAGGTAAGGAAATTTGTAATACTCGTTCACCAATTTTGGGACCATCTGGCACAGAAGGATGCCAGTTGGTATCAACTGTGATGTACATGGCAGAAACTGAACTGACAGATCCAATTTGTGCAGGTGATCAAACAGCTCCGACACAGTTAACTAGATTATGGCAGCCTTGGGGCCAAGTTTTAACCAACAATATAAACCAGAAGTCCATGATTCTGTAACTTTTTAGTACCGCTTTGAGCACTGCAACTACACACTGAAACATGATGTAGATACACAAATACCGGTCCAGGAGTATTATACCTTGGCAAATTCTTGGCTCCACTATACACATGCAGCCTGTTTTCCTTAGGAATACAACATATACACACAGAAGGGGAAAAATCCTTTTCCTTTTTGTAACCTAGTTAAAATATATAAACACTGTTAAAGCAGCACTGGTGTTCTGCTCCTGAGTATGGTCAAATTTGATTTACTGGGGTGTGAGTTTTATAACAGAGGGGCTACGCACACTGACTGCTAATCATAGCTCACCACTATTTAGCTACGTGGAACCAACAAGTTCATGTGAGGTTCTGGAACAGCCAAATAATGGGAGGCAAGAAATTCAACTGGTTTTTTAAGAGGAATTTGAAGAAATGCATGAAAGGAACAATGCACTATCAGTTTTTTTAACTTCACCAAGTGATCCAAAAGACTTCCCAGCTCTTTACTTCCTCCATCTGCACAAGTTAATCCGTCATGTACAGAAAGGAGAAAGTCATCCAATAGCAGCATCCTTCTGCAAGCCTCTTGTACCACTGCATGATGCTTGGAGAAAAACTTCAGGACATTTTCTTTCAGTGGATCACGGGGAGCTTTCTTTAGAATGGTCAGTACAGAATAAGGACATTGACGACGCTGTTTTCAACCTGTCAAACATTACCTTTACCTATAGTCTGTTCACACGCTTGCACATTTCCTTCATATAAAAGCATCCCTTGGTTTTAAAACTTTGCATTCAGAAACTTTAATAGTTTTATTTCCCCAATATAAGTCATGATCTTTAACCACCAGCTGCTAAGAGGATGGTTGACGCGATACAGCTCAGGTAATGCTTTCCCTGATTTCATCTCTTCCACGATATGTCATTAATTAGAAAACGTTAGTGTCCTCAGCCCTTGTAGGTACAAGGACTGCCCACACGTGTATCATCAAGGAGCTATCATTACACCAGCTCTTCTACATTTAGGTGCCCGCAGAAAAGCGGGTCTTGACAGCCTATGATTTACTAGAAGCCTCATTCAGAGAGGCTTAAGTGGCTCCCTGAGGACCAAATGAAGCTGGCAGGCACTGCCCACCAAGGACCGAGGTGAAGGTTGGAGCAGTCCAGAGATAACCATGTCTGACATCTGGAGTCTTGCTTCCAGGCAGAGCAGTCAGTCACTGATGAAGCAAAAGCAGTTCAGAGCCCTGGAGCTACAACACAGCGAGGCTCTGGGCTCCAACTAATGGCAGGGGGACAGACACCCCACTAGACATGTATCGGTTCAAACCCGTTCCCCCGCCATCTTATCTCCATGCAAGTCAGGGCTCCAAGCAGCTTAAGTAAAAAAAAAAGAAATCTAAGTTTAGCCATCACACAAAAGCAGGAAGAATACAGTCCTGGGTCAAATCTGAGAGAAGGCAGTCTTCTATCTGGATGGCTTTGAGAGTACTTTGGGCAGCATCAGCAGGTGGAGAGGGTCCTAAAGCAAGGCAGACATGCTAGTGCCACCCTGGCTGGTTAAAGGGTGGAGGCTCTGTGCTAGGGGAGCATGAGATCCACATCTGACCCGCAGAAGAGAGCTGGGCATTGCAAGCTGAACTAGGAAGAGGATAATCACGTAAATGTGTCTTGTTAAAAAAGAAACCACTCCAGACGATGAAAATTAGGAATTACTGAGTAGGCAGAAAGACCATAAAGGACAGAGTTTAACAATGCTGGTTGAGATGCGATAGATCTAAAGATACAATTAATATCAGGTTTATAGGTAGAGGTAATATTTTAATCGGATCAGTACAGATGGAGAGAAATTAAGGATTTCTGCGCTCAAAAGCATGTCCGTTATGTCTGGGAC